TTTTTCCGGCAGCAATTAATAAACCGACACAGACACTCACTGCCATCATCAACCCTTGAAAGAGGGTGGAGAATGATACACTGTTGCCACGTGTTCGTTAAATTTATGTCCATGAGTCGCTGTTTTGAAAAAGCATCAGAACTTTGTCGAATTATGATTTTCATTATTTAGATATAATTAGATACATAAGAATCCGTATAATATGGAAATCCATAATGTCGAATGAAAATGTTTCATAGAATGAACTGCGAGATTAAAGGTGGTTCACCTATATAGAGTTCTCATCAACATCTTTCAGAATTGAATAATCTGGAAAAAAACTAAGTTGAATCATTGAAGATTTGTTTATTGGCGTGAAAAAAATCATTGGAAATATGACTACCTACTCTTATACTTTTATACATTTTGACGCACTATACCAAAAATATTTCGATGACATCCAAATTCAAATTTCAAGGAGAAATATAGAGCTATTTTGCCTGGAATTTTTGTATATCATTGATCAGAGTTATCAAAGAGCGTACGCATTTTCAAATATGTTCATGAACTTTTTTCTTGAATTTTTTGTATCATGTAGGTATATCCTGATCATTTTCATCGTCAGAAAAAAACTAGTATTTTTGATTTATGGAATTAGTATGGTCTCATTAATATCGATAGAAAATGATATGAATGCTTAAATCTTTCGTTTAAAAATTCGGAATAAAATAGGTTTGTAGATTCGATCTATTTTTCATATATATATATTTTTTTGCATAAAGGTGACAAATAATATATAGCAGGCCTGTAATGATTACCCAAATGATAATAATCGAGGAATTTGGAATAGAATCTTAGATATTATCTCAAAGACTGCAATGAAATCATGAACATTTTTTACTAGAACACATCCTCAAATTCACTAATTGAGATATCGGAAGGAAAGAGGAAGATGAAAAATCGCAAAAATATTTGAATTAATAGGTACCACAAGTGATACTACACATTTTGCCGAAAATATTCGGCGATTGTTGAATGTCTTCATTTGGAATGAACAGAATAAAATTATACAAATATCCATAACATCTTCTCAAAAGCTCTCAAGTCCTCTACTAGATAGATAATATACAGATCAGAACCTCTCTTGCAGACTTACGAGTTTTTGAATTCAAAATCTCCCAGAGTAGAGTGAGGTTTAAATTATATCTTTTAGATGTCGCTACCAAAAACAGAGACTCACGATGATTTGGTGATGGGTGCGCTGAATTTCGTGGGTGGTGAAAATTTTCAAACATAAAATTCCCTAGAACCCCTGATTATATACATAGAACTCGGACTTAGGAGGTTTTGATAGTAAGCCGACGATTATTATTATTAAGCAAAGCTCCCGGCTTTTCCTCTGATCCGGCAACAGCGCCGCGTCGCAACCCCTCAACCGCCCTTAACCGTCGTCGCCTAGCAACGCATCCACCCCAGGCCAGCCGTTGCCTGGCAACACCCAGGTGTCGCGAGGTCCAATCAACACAGGCCATCTCAAGATCAATGTTTACACAGAGCGGATATGTCCCGGCGTCCAGGACCTCCTGGATGTGTGCAATTTGTCGCTCGAAGGGTGAACGGCGGGGGTTGAAAGAGGGGGAAGGGGTAGGGGGTGGGTTCCGGAAGGGTTGACGTCAATTCTCCTGGGTCGCGGATACTTTCTTTGTCATGGTAATGGACCCGGTAGGATAATAATAATATGAGGTACATTGGGGTAATGAGGCAAAAAAAATTATTTGATAATTAACACTACTGAGATAACGCTATAATTTGAAATACATTCTCTGGATGAAGGTTTTTCATAACATAAAACAAAAACACAAATTTAAAAACACGATTTCTTAAACACATTACCATGGCAACACAGTTCATTAAACACAGCTCCAGTAATTTGAGACATGTCTGGCCTGTCAATTGCGTATTAACTGTCCAACTGTTATTTTCGAATTTTGTATAAGAATTATTGAAACAATTTTCGTTTGTATCAGAATTATTCATCAAAAATATATGTGAAATAAAGACGAAAGTGATTAAAGTGAAATCGAATGTCCTGCTGGTACTTGATGCATATCTCCAAGAAGTGTAAAAATGAAGCATCCATCTTTGAGAACAATTTATTTATTCTGCGCTAAGCATGACAATAAACTTGAAACAAATAAGGTTAGTAAGCAATGGACTGGACACATCTACAACCAATATCACTTATACGTGTCTCGCTGGTTGCATGCAGTTGCATGTATTATGTTCTCAATTCCCATTCCTTTCGAATTATTTTGTGTTAGCAGGAATAGTAGGTATGTTAATGTAATTTTCGGAGTTCGTAGAAAAAGCATAGTATATAACGCGTTTATAAACTCTCGTGTTCCGCTCGTGCTTAAAATACTCGTTACTAAAAGGACGTTTATAACACTTGTTACATAATATACTACTGAGCGCATGACATTTTCGTTTTATTGCATTTTTTATTTTTAGGAACTACAAGACGAAATCCCAAAGAATCTAGGGAGATATGAGAAGTATTTTGATAACAAAAATAAAGGATCTTTGAATGTATACGATATATCAAAAAATATCTCAATGAGGTTGAAGTAATCTAAATTATTGGTCGAGTATAGTGTTGAATGATTTTTATCAAATATGGAATACTGACTCATTTCTCAATTCTACGAAATTATTCAGATATATTCTCTAATGCATAACAATATTTTCATATCATTCATTCTATGCAAAAACTAAATCAGTCTATTGTCCGTTGAAGTACAGTCGTATTCAATGAAAGAGCGTACAAGTATTACCTAAACATGGAAGATTTCGGCATTCTAGTTCTCGTTGTGTAAAATTGGCTCAGCCAATGTTTTGTGTTTTTGAGAACCTCTATGATTACTCTACTGTTAATATTTGGTAAACATTCATTCCCGTTTAACGGATGACGTCAATTTCTCCCTCCAATATACTTGTACGCTTTTTTTTGAATACGACTGTACATGTATATTACCTAGATGAAAAAATCTTTTAATAGCGCTTCTGATATTTCCAAATGGCCGAAGGCGCCGATTTTTATAATTATTAAGAAAATTTTGATATTCACTTCCCTATTTAGGTATATTTTGTGTTTGATACCTATTATATTATATTGCCTGACATATCGAACATTTCAAAATGATGACATTTTTCAATTTGAAGTACTAATCTGTTCTCTGAACATTACAGGATATCTCTTTTCGTGGGAACCAGATCATAAAAAAAGGAAGATTCATTGTAAAATTATTTTTTGTTGAACCCCCCCCCTGAATGATACGCCCGTGAACGCAGCATTTTAATGAAAATTATTTTTTATTTTGAACTTCAACAACCTGTATTTTGCAATCGAAGCCTTCTTCTAATTTTTGCGACGCTCTATATCACCCCTAGGAGTGTGCCCCACATATTACGAAACACTCTGTATTTACCGGACATGTCCTCTCGTTTTCAATTAGGTTGTGATTCAAAAATTAGGAGACAGAAAAATAGTTGATGAGTTCATGGATTATAAATGGTAAGAGTACCATCCATCATTTGGGACCACAGATTTTTTTCTTCTGTGACAGAAAAAAAGTTTGGCATTTCATCCTATACATAATGTTTGGGCAAAACCGTTGATTGATATATTACGCTTATAATATCCCTAACAACACCAGTACATCCTAGGGACTTCCCATGGACGTCCCTGATTTTATACTAGGACATCCCAGGGATGTCCTTTGTCGGGACAACGTACATACTAGGGATGTCCCAGGGACATCCGCTGGCCGCTAAAAAAGGCATCCAAGGGATGTCCTTCTGGTACGTCCCTGGGATGTACCAAGTACGATGAAAGGATATCGCCTAGGACGTCCCAAGGATATCCCAGGGACATCCTTTCGACAAAAGAAAAAAGTTGCAGGTCGAGTAGGGATTGAACCAGAGACCTTTGATGGCTTATCATGCACGCACCTTGCTCCATTGGCTATCATGCCTCCTGAAGATTTATGTACTAAACAGATTTATAAACAGGACTTAACTATACAGAAATCTGAATAAATACAACTTTATTAGGAATTGGGTATAATTATTATCATTCTTGGGTGTTTAAAAATGAAGGGCATTGAGCATGTTCGATTTCTGTCTGCGAAAAATGGTAATTTCTCAAGAAGTTCTGAGCCTTTATTCTTTATTCCCATTACAATAATTTTCCGGAAGAGAAACAAACATTTTCAAAAAAATTCTACTCAATAGTTTGATGAAATTCAATGACTCTGATGTGAATTGATGGATATCAGATACTCCAGGGACACGAATAGGATAACCTAGGGATGTACCGGGCGGGATGTCCACTGGACAACCACTGCAGGACATCCCCTGGATGTCCCAATCATGTCCTTGTACCGCGGGACAAAAAAGGGACGTACCTAGAACACCCCTGTGTTGTTAGGGATATCAATCAACGGCAAAACGGATACGTGCAGCAGGAAGCAGGGAATGATGGAATGGATGGTGCGCGTACTTGGACATTTTGACGTATTGAAACTTGAGAAAAAAAGAAAAGTCACTTGACCGTTCTCTACCTCACATCCAGCGAGACGTTAAATCTACGTTTTTCCGCTAGATGGTGATGCTGCTTTTGATGGTGTGACTGTGACAAGTGGAAATAAAATAGCAAATTGCATTTTTTAGGTACGCAGAACATTATGTAAAAGTGGGTTTATTTCACTAGAAATTCAAAAAATCTGCAGCAATTTCCATATTGACAGATGTCATAATCAAGGTTCGCCATCTATTAGAAGATCGCCAAAACCATTGTTCTCGAGAAGAATTTCTTAAACGAAAGCGCATCTGTAAGTACTTGTGCAGGGAATGATGGAGAATGTGTTTTAAAAATAAGAAGAGGAATTAAACTTGAAGTAAAAGAGACGAATATAACCTTTAGAATTTGGATGGCCTTTAAAATTTGTCAAGTTATTTTTATTCAACTTTTGAATGTAAATACTGAAATAAACGAGGACTGTTGAAGACACAATAAAATGTCTCGCGATACTTTTGAAAGTAAAACCTTCTCCAAGAACATGGGAGAGGATTCTGATGAGGAAAACTCTGAGGAAGATATCGATGAAATGATCATGAACATAAACTATTTCCAGAAGCAAAATAAATCCAGTGAGCCAAGTGTCATTTGTGATCCTCTCATGTTAGACCCCACGAACATGAGTGAGAATACTATAAAGCTCATTCGAATCATAGAAGAGAACCTCAATAAGAGCAAGATGATTCAAAACTTAGAAATTCCTGGCAATAATAATGTAAATAAGATTCAACAAGGGAAGACTGGGAAGAGTGAGACTGGTCCACAAATAGAACACAATCAACCAATTGAAAGAAGACAAGTTAGGAGGGGAACTGGATTTGAAAATAGTCAGCAAATAAATTGTGGAAATCAACCAATTGAAAGAAAACAGGAAGTTAGAAATATAACTCCACTTGAAAATAGTAAGCAAATAATATCTGTGGTAAATGATAAACTAAATCAACCTATTAAAAAACCCCATGAAGTTAAAAGTAAAACTCCACTTGAAAATAGTAAGCAAATAGTATCTGTGGTAAATGATAAATTTAACCAACCTATTAAAAAAAAACATGAAGTTAGAAATGAAACCCCACTTAAAAATAGTAAGCAAATAATATCTGTGGTGAATGATAAACTAAGCCAACCAATTAAAAGAAAATATGGAGATAGTAGTGAAACTAGGCTTGAAAATAATCAGGAAATTATATATGTGGAAGATGATGAACCAAAACCTCCACTAAAACAACCAGTTAAAAGAGTATGCACAAGAAAGAAAGCACAGACTCAAAGCAAATTCAAAAACTTTTGGTCACCAGGAAATGTGCAGGTATCTAAAGTGGAAAATAAAAGTATTGTAGAAAAACCAACTGGAAATTTAATTGACCAACAGCAAAACAAAGATGTGGAAGAAAATTTCCAAGATCCCTCTGTTATAGAAACAAATGCAAATAAATTGCTTAAAGACATAGCTAAAGATATTGAAGAATATAAGAAAAGGGCATTACCAAAATTGGGAAAATTAGTAAAACCACTGAATGAAACTTCCACAGTGATAAAAAATACATCTCAGTATGAAGATCAAATGACAAAAAAAGTTGTTGGAGAATCAGAAAAACAAAAAATGATGAATGAAAAGCAAGAAAACCCTAATGACAAATCAAAAGCAGCAATTACACATCCAGTAGTACAGGAGCCTCTTTGCAATTCAATATTCAGATGTTCTCTATGTTACAAGAAAGTCTCCACATATGAAAGCCTTCAGGAACATCTAAAGTTTGCCCATAAGGATAAAATATGTTTATGTGTGTTATGTAACAGGGCATTCACAAGCCGTGAAGGTTTAAAAAACCACCATAAAAGCAAACATATAAACATATTTTCAAATTCACATTCCAAATATTTTCAGGCACATAAGTAGATCTGAATTCCAGAAAGAATACATGATTTTAAGTTAAACTGTGTGTTATTTCCTCACAATTAATTTACTGTGTTCAGGGGCATCATTTCAACTATCACCAAGGGAGGATTTTGATAAAGCACAATTTACTGCAGGGTTGGAATAAGACTTTTATAAAAAAGTCATCAAAGTCCGACTTTTTGAATTGAGTCAGACTTTTTTGAATTATTTCATTTGAATAAAAAAAAACAAATTTCATTTACCCAATGCAAAATAAAAAAAAAGAAACAAAAAAAACTTTGTTTTTATTCCCTTCAGAAATCTTATAGAATAACATCATAACATGTCATTTTTTCAAAACATTGAAAGTGATAACAAAATAATAGATACATCAATGTCGGCTAAATGAAAAAAGAATCTAGTCAGCTCTGGCCCTCTACCAGAGCTGACTAGATTCTTTTTTCATTTAGCCGACATTGAGATACATATAGATCCAGTATCATCCATAAAGTTCATAACACATGGAGAAAAAGTTTATTAGTAGAATATCCAAACATTTTTTCTCAGGGATCTATTATTCATGTCTGACTACTTGAAAGCCGATTTTGACACGTCACTTGATCACTGGTATGACGGTGAATTCAAAAAATTACGATGGCAAAAAGTGGGGTTAGATGGGAAGGTGAAGTTATTTAAAAAAAATGAAAAAAGCTATTTTCAGTTTTCTCAAATGATGGCTGGAAACTCCATATGTGAGCATGAAATTGAATTCTATTCAACTTGTACATCATCAACATCACTACTGTCAGAAAAAAAAGAGAATTGTAACAAAATTGAAGAATATTCGAAAAAATATAGCTATTTCCTATTCTCCTCCAAAAATTGCTCGAAACTGAATGTGGAATAGCAACTTAATAAATGTTTTATTTCTACTCACATTACTAAAATGACATTTAGCGTACGGATATGTACCACGCTAAATGATCGATTAATCACAGATTGACGATCTGTGATTTATTCAAAATATTAAACACGTTACCATGGCAACACGATTTCTTAAACACATTACCATGGCAACGGCAACACAGCTTCAGTAATTTGAGACATATGTCTGGCCTGTCAATTGTATTAACTGTCAACTGTTATTTTCGAATTTTGTATAAGAATTATTCAAACAATTTCCGTTTGTATCAGAATTCTTCATCAAAAATATATGCGAAATGTAGACAAAAGTGGAATTCAAAAGAATGTCCTGGTATACTTGCATATCTCCAAGAAGTGTAAAAATTAAGCGTCCATCTTTAAGAACAATTTACTTATTTTGCGCTAAGCAATGGACTGGACACATCTACAACTAATATCACTTATACGTGTCTCGCTGGTTGCAAGCAGTTGCATGAATTATGTTGTCAATTCCCATTCCTTTCGAATTATTTTGTTGGTTAGCAGGAATCAGGTATGTTAATGTAATTTTTGGAGTTCGATCGTAGAAAAAGCATAGTATGTAACGCGTTTATTAACTCTTCTAGACACTCGTTTATTAAACACTCGCTCTTCTCTGCTTCGCTCGTGCTTAAAATACTCGTTACTAAAATTACGTTTATAACACTTGTTACATAATATACTATTATGGATATTTTGTTATCTAACCCCACTTTTCGTCGCTTTATAGTATTATTTTTATTGATCACCATGCCGATGATCACGTGACGTGTCAAAATCGATTTTCAAGTTATCGGATAATATGCATTATGGATCGCCGAGAAAAACAAATTGATGCTGTGATAATAAACCTGTTCTCATATTTTATGACTTTATGGATGATACTTGATACTGTATATATATATCTGTTAGTAAAAATCTCTGTCATGCTTGAAATAACAAAGTCTTGCCAAAATACGATCGAATGTTTCAGTTCAAACTAGTTTAAATCAAAGGTAATAGTGCAATTTGTCTCATTTTTGAAAATTTGAATGAATTCATGACTTTTTCGAAAAGAGTCAATGGAATTAATTCACGAATTAAATCATTGATACCACAGACTCCTGTGAGATGATTAAACCAAACTTATTTTTTATATTTTCATAGAGAATACTTCAAAAAACGAATCTTAATTCTAGAAAACTTTAGTTCGAATGCTTCTACAGGCTCTTTGAACAATTGAATTGAATAATATTTTGTATTGTTATACCAGAAAGAATCTTCAAAATGTTAAAAGTTATATTATACAACACTATAAAATAAGTGTTTTCATGCATTTATTCTCATTCCAAAAGTATATTCAGGAATTTTAGTGTAGGGCAAGGAAAACTATATTAAACAATATAATTTATTTCTGTTGGACAATATACAATATCTTAACCTATCAGGAATACAATAAAGCCATAATTCAATATTATTATTATTATTATTAGTAAGTCTTTCTTCTATTACAAATAGAAATTAACGAATTTTATAACATAATGTACATAACTTTTCAAGTGTTATCTTAAATTAACAAAGTACATGAATGATTGAATCAAACTCTTCAATATACAGTGTGTCCCACTTTACCATGCTCACCATTGGTATCTTTTCAACGGTGAGAGATACGAGGTCGGTTAAATGACACCAAATGTGAAGTTTGTCAAGGCCAACTATAATGTGAAAAAATATTTTGATAAAATCTATTCGTTTTTGTTTTATACGCAGAAAACAGATTTTGATCATTTTCATGTCTCCTCCGTAACTTCTTTATTTATGAAAATATTCAAATAGGAAATTCACATTCTCATGACAGTTTTTCAAAGTGATTTCGAAAAAAATATGAAATTTATACCAACTCTTCTAGAATTTGAGATATCAGCACCAACTTTAGTTTTTCAAATGTAGGTAATAGCTCACTATGAATTAGTTACGAATAACTTTTTTTTCTCTTACAGATGATTATGTTGCAGTAATAGTTTTGTGTTGATAACAACGGAGTTATCGTAATTTATACAGAAACAAATAATTATTTGGAAGCCGCCATCTTGAATTCATCAATTTTAACAAAAAAATCATGATCTCCGACCTCAAAAACCCCCACTTACCAATTTTGAATGGAATCGGACCAAATCTTGTCCGCCATCTTGGAGCAGTCATTTTTTTTTAATTTCAACAAAAATTCCATAATGTATTGTGGACAAGATTTGGTCCGATTCAAAATTGGTAAGTGGGGGTTTTTGAGGTCGGAGATCATGATTTTTTTGTTAAAATTCATAAATTCAAGATGGCGGCTTCCAAATATTTTTTTGTTTTTGTATAAATGACGATAAGTCCGTTGTTATCAACACAAAACTATAACTGCGACATATCTTCGGTAAGAGAAAAAAAAGTTATTCATAACTAAGTCATAGTGAGCTATGGCCTACATTTGAAAAACTAAAGTTGGTGCTGATATCTCAAATTCTAGAAGAGTTGCTATAAACATATTTTTTTCGAAATCACTTTGAAAAACTGCCACGAGAATGTGAAATTCCTATTTGAATATTTTCATAAAAAAAGAAGTTACGGAGGAGACATGAAAATGATCAAAATCTGTTTTTTGCGTATAAAACAAAAACGAATAGATTTTATCAAAATATTTTTTCACATTATAGTTGGCCTTGACAAACTCCACATTTGGTGTCATTTAACCGACCTCGTATCTCTCACCGTTAAAAAGATACCCATGGTGAGCATGATAAGTGGGACACACTGTATGCACATTGACTATTCACATGTTTGTATCTTAAAATTATAACCGGTATGATTGTTAAGTTAGAGAGTATTCCAAGAGAAATCAGAATGATAAAATATCCGAATTACTGAAATTCTTTACTGGGTGTTGAAATACCGACAGCCTCTTCATAGTCAGAACTTGACTTCTTTGATTTCACTTTTACTAAAAAAAAAAAAAATACACATGATCCACTCATGCAGCTTCGTCTATTTTTAAGACATGACGGAAATATTACGATTTTTTCAAATATTTTATACTTTTATTATGCACTGCATGAGTTAAAGATAAGTCAAATGGAATTAAACAAAAGTGAAATTTTCATCAGGAAAATATTTGAAGCCCCATTTCTGCAAAATCACGACGGTACTTTTGAGAAAACGGTGATTCTTATGCACTGAATCAGATATTTGCACCATATTGAATAGAAATTTCATGTTCTGATGATATTATTGAGATCCAGACAAACTATCAAACTTATCAGGCGAAGATCACTTACCTTCTCGAAAAAATCAATTCATTTTCCAATCAATGCATCAATAAATTCACACTATGAGTATCGGGTTCAATAATATTGAAATAAAATATACCTTTTTCTTTTTTATCTTTGGACTTCTCCTTCTTTTCCTTTTTGACTCCTCCAATTTCTTCATCCAATTCTAACAAATTCGATTCTTTAGGCTGCTTTGGCTTCTTCCCTTTGAGTTTTTCACTTTTCTTCTTACTGGACTTTTCCTTATTCTCCGTCTCGTTCTCTCTATTCTTCCGTTTCAGTTTCTCTGTCTGTTCTGTCAGGTTCTCCTTTTCTACCTTTTTCCTCGTGTGCTTCTTCTCTTTCTCCTTCTTTGCTTTCGGTTCCTTCACTTCATTATCTGGTTTCTGAGTATAGTCATAGATAGGCCTACAATCATTATCAAGATGAAGCTCAATATACAGGGAGATTCACGTTTTTTGGAGAACGTAAAAATCCATGTAGCAACAGTTTTCTAAAACCTAAAAAATTGGTTTCTGAATACCGTCAGTCTTCAAAATATTCTTACAAGACGCATCAGCAGCGCGTCAGTCATGAAAAAAAAGTATGGTCGATGGTTAAACTGTCTTCTAAAATGTTGAATTTGGTATCAACAGTCATTAATCAAGAGGTTGCCATGGTATTATGAGAATTATGTAATTCCACCCACTAAGCAGAATTGGAAACAATGTTGATGCAATGTTGAAACAATTACTGAAATGGACGTTCAGCAATATTGCAAAGATGAAGTTTGATAATGTAGCATTGCAGCAATATTATATGTTGCTGTGACATTGCTTGAATGTTACATTTACAAATTTTACATTTGCAATATTGCTGAACGTCAGTTTCAGTAAGTGCTACAACCTTGCATCAACATAGCAGTATAACAGTTTGAGATTTTTCCAAAAGTCGTCGAGATGTCCGATAGCGAGTGACATTTGTTTCATTATCTCAAGAAACATTGGTGTTTATGATAGGGATATATAACATAGCATGAATTCGGCACTTTCTGGTTCAATCCCAAGAAAATCTAAACGGAAATATAAAAAATGCTGAAGTGACTAAAGAAAATGTCGAAACGATGTCGGATATCTGACGCTAAAATCAGAAGTTGTGAAGAGTTCAACTGTAGAATGGGCATTTATTCTATGTTAAAGTGTATGCTCAAAATATGAGATACAATTGATTCAAGGGAGTTCTAAACATGGTTCAACGTTTAGATTGATGGCCGTTACTCTGAATAATACCCGTAAAATATCACTTTGCAACCTCCTTTCCGACTGATTAAAGTTCAAGTTCAAGGTATCAAAGTGATCAGAGGTAAAAATCCGAACTATTTCCGGAAATTACTTTGAATTTTCTACTCACAAGTGCAAATCGATATCTAATGCTCTGTGGGGATCATCTTTTGCTGCATGATCGCTATCGGAATCCGATAAAGTAGCTCCTTCAGGCAACTCCATATCCCTTCTCACTTCTATCGCGGGTTCCTTATCGAACATTCCATCCGAAGAACTGAAAACGGTACAAGGTGAATCATTTCAACTATACAGGGTGTCCGGAAAGGTCATGTCGTAAATGATAGGGCTGATAAAGTGAGCTTAAATAATGTTAAGTACTTCATATAAAAAAAATGTGTATCGCACTTCCTTAGGAAGTTATTGACCTCGAAAGTTTCTGCAAGTTCATACAAACGCATACTCATCATTACTAAACTCATTGAATACTGGGAGTGAGATTAAATAACGTTCTTCCCGATGCCTTGAAAAATATCAACTCAGGTCATTGCTTCAAGAAAAACTTCGAGAGCAGAGGCATGAAGATGATCTCATAACCTAGGGAAATTTTTGAAATTGTCTTTTTTTCTCTTTCATCTACAGAATGGTCTCAAAAAATTAACTTTCTGGTTTTGCAGTCAGCGTTTTTTTCTCGTCAACCCGTTTTTAGAATCTCATTTTGAAGCTGAAACTTTAGATAAAGAGTTGAAGATCAGAATTGACTCGAAGAGAACATTATACAGTGTGTCTCACTTCTATTGGAAGCACCCCTGTATGTTTCCTAATTGTTGAGTTAGGATTCTGAAACTCACAGGGAGCGGGAGATATACTGAAAATAATCACTATGACCAAGTACCCAACTAGCATTTTCAGTCACAGGCACCATGGTTCAAGAAACTATTACCTATATTTAGTGATAATAACGTATTTATCACTTATTTCAGAACTTCATAGTATAAATGTCAGTGATAGTTATTTAGTGAGTGAAAATTACGTAGTTTTTACACTAGATAATAACTTCAAAGTGAGAAATTCTCATGGCTTATTACGAAGTAACTATTTCGAAACTGTCACTCCTCAAAACTACTCTTAAGGTTTCGGAACTTTGGATATATTATTACGGTAACGCTTACCACCCCAAGAAGGCTTCACAGTTGCAATTTCTCTATGGTCACCAATTAGGTTTCTACGACGTTGTCGTTACTTGATCGATCACCTAATAATTTAGTCAATTCTTGGTGATATTTCAAGTAACATATTGGTAATTCCTACTCAAACAATTCCTTCATAGTTGAAACAACTTTTCGGTAATTATATTCAGTTACCAATACATAGGTTATCATAACTGACGAGTTCCAAAAGTAACTTTCTGATTCATTTTCGACTGGAAGCCATATTGATTGATGTGATAACCATTTGAACAGGAAATAATTTTGGTTTTTCTTGTTGATAAACATCATTTTATGAAGAATAATAGCATTCGTTCGATCACAAATTGCATAATAATGGAAATTAACATGATTTACGATGATTTTTGAAAAATAGCCGAATGAAATAAAACCATATTTTTGGTGAAATGAGCCGTATTTTGTGGGCGCATCTTGAATTTCGAGGCAAAATCATCACATTTATCGAAAAACTGAATGTTGTTCGAATTTTTCAAGTTCGAGTATCAATTATTTCGCGTGTTTGTCCTTGTATTATTTATTGAATGGTTAGGCATATTGGACTTGTTCATTTTTCGTGAATGTGAACTTCATGGATGAAATGAAGAATAATAAAGAGAGAAAATAATATTTTTATGAAGTGGAAAAGAAATAGAAAGTCAGGTAGGAAAATTTACTACATCTTTACGTAATTTCGACGTCGACGGGTCGTAAGCATTACGTAATTGTGTGAGTTCCCGCTACGTCGGCAAACCGTAATAATTACTCGTGATTTGTTCCCCATTTTGGTCGTAAATACGTAGTAACGACGTAATTATAACGTAACCGCAACTAGTAAATATTACTTAATAGTCGACCCAATAGTCGTAATTACGTAATCGCGACTATAAATGCTAGTTGGGTAGAGTCATCTCCAGTGATAAACACTGCTCGTCAACAGCCTTGGCACCACCCAAATTTCCGGAAAATATTATTAGGAGCCAAGACACCAAAAGAAAAGGAAACAAAATTAATGACTACATATTTTTTATGGAAAATTTTCAGTTCGGGGAAATTCAATTTTATCACTTCTCATGGAAGCACCCCCGTATCTCACGTAATTATTGATATTTGCAGGAGCGAAAGGGACGTTTTTGAATCCGAAGTAATTTTCAACCAATCTTGCCTCCTTATATCATTTTTGTGGGTGGTTCCAAGGATGTTGGCGAGCAGTGTATATCACTGGAGACGACTCCACTTGTTCATAGTGTGTATTTTCATTATATCTACTGCTCTTGCAAATTTCAGAATCCTAACTCAACAATTACGAAAGATACAGGGGTGCTTCCATTAGAAGTGAGACACACTGTATAATGTTCATCTTGAGCCAATCCAGATCTCCATATCTCTTCATCTGAAGTTAAAGCTCCCAAATGAGCCTGAGATTTCAAAAATCGGTTGATGAGGAAAAAAGTTATGACTGCAAAACCAAAAAGTTAATTTTTTGATATCACTCTGTAAATAAAAGAGATAAGGAGACAATTCGAGAATTGTCCCAAGATAATGAAATCATCTACATGTCTACTGTCAAAGTTAAAAAAAAAAGTTTTTCTTCATTTGAGATACTTTTGAAATTTCCGAAATTTTGCCCAGTTTCAGGTAACACCCTGTAGCGATTTTATGTGAAGAACCTATGTTCTGAAGAATTACGAGATTATAGCTGAAGGACTGGGCTAGCGAACAGTGTGATTCGAATTCAAATCGCTCAAAGCAGAAAAAAGTTATTCATATTTCAACAGAGGCAAAATTTTGGGGTGTGACGAAATTAGTGTTGCGTGGTTTAGATGTAGAGAAATCTCCAGATTTCGAGGTAGAATAATCTTCCGACATTTTGATCGCTTGTTCCCCGATTTCTCAAAAACTGAGTTGAATCACATCATTTAGCGGAATTTGTGTTTAGGGATCTGTTCTTTTTTTTACCATGCCACGCCCATTCCCCGTATACAGCGACATCTATTGAACAAATTTGAACTGTTTTTATGCTGACCTAGAAATTGAGAGATGTCACTGGTGACAGATACAGCTACCTACATTGCATACAGCGATGACGGCTTAGCCGTCATTCTGTAGCAATGCAAAATGCACATTTGCTTGCTTGTTATGTTATGATAATGATGGAAGTAAGATATGGTGCGCGTATTCGGTCATTATTACGTATTGAAAATTTCAGAAAAATCACTCGACCGCCTAATATGATTTCTCTACGTCACAACGAGCGAATCGTTGATTCTACATTTTCCCGCTAGATGGTGATGCTGCTATTGCTGCTGTGACGAATGCAAATAAAATGGCAAATGGTATTTTAGGTACGCAGAACATATGTAACAGTGGGATTATTCAACTCTGAATTCGAAAAATCTGCAACAATTTCAAAACTGAACATAATTGTGCAAGGTCGCCATCTATTAGGAGATCGACGGAACCATTTGATTGCTCTCGCTGTTCTTGAGTGGAGTGAAATTTTTGAAACAAATGCGCACCAGTAATTACACCATATCTTACTTCCATCATTGTTATGATCATATAGGTTGTTTTTTCATTCTCAGCTGACTTTTTAGAGTGGTAATTTCCTCTAATTATTGATTGAAGATTAGAACTGATCTGTGACACCATTTAAACCATGTGTAAACGTGTCGTGAACACTCGCTCGGTGAAATTCGGAGGCTTGGAGTTGGTGCAAAACGCCATGACATGATCGATCATTGTGCTCCGGACGAATTTGTAAAGATTATCTTTTCCTTGCAAGATAATTAGTTGCTATATTCATATTAAATGGTACAATATACAATATATTATTCAGGTATTTTATTTCTAGAAATCATAAAGATCAAACACCACCTACCTACTATTGAGTGCCATTGACTACTCACTCATGAAATGATCGAACGCAAAATAAGAGGAAATATCAATGAAATTACGAGATTAGCTCAGCAGCGAAAGGCAAATGACATGTTTTGACATTTCATGAGATACATAACCAATAATTTGAAAGAATTCTCATAAATCAACAAAAAACAAATGAAATCTTTGCGATTACCCGTATGTGCTGCCATCAAGCAATCATACAATGAACTTAGTTATTGGGCTGTCATGACATTCAGGCAGGTCACTTGATATTTAGCCGTCATTGACTGAGGCCATTACTTTCCATAAACATTTGGTATCATAGCATACAACGACCATTATTCACTCACCTTTCAGATTTATGTTTCTTCTTTTTGCTCTTCTTCTTCTTGGACGATTTTTTGTCGGCATTGACGTTGAGATACTTGTCGGATCTCTTTTGACGGAGTACCTTGAGAGGTACGTTCAAATTGAGTTCCGTCACCGGAATGTTTTCGACAGCTTCCTCAGCTGCGCCATTACCAACCCCTTTCAGATAATGGGGGTTGTTTTGTTGTTCGTATTTTCTGACTTCTCGACTCTGGAAATTGTCAACGAGATATTCTATGTCAGAAAACGGGAAGTAGAGAAAAACGTTGAACAATTTAAGGTACATTCTATGAAAAAACCGAGCGGTTACTTTCATGATTCTTCTTCCATTTTTATGAAATTTCGACCAACTCGTATATTTATGTTTCCGAAGGATAGCATGAATAACTTGTTCTTAAGAAAATCTGATGACTTGATCATTAAACAGGGATAAACAGTTAAAAAGTGAGTGGTTAAAATTAAGCATCATTATGTTTTGGAGTGAAGTGTGATCGCTTCTTAAAACAATGATTTTAGATTCACGTCATTATCATTTTTTTTATTGAAGTTACGAGTGTTTTGAAAAATTATGGGATTTTTATTTCAATTTTAATAATAATTCAGAACCAGTAGAGCATCTTTGTGATGAAATCCAGAGACGTATTCGTCGTCGACCGGCCTTGACTTGCTCTTCATGAGGAACTTGAAGCGAAAGGCGAGTAGACAATTTTATTTAAATGTAATTATCACTCAAATACCTTTCAATTTCATATTTTTGAGACTTTTTTGGTTGATTTTTAGGTGCTGAAATCATCAATAATGCCACGTTAATTTTCAAACGACTAGAAATTTACCAACAGTAAAAACTGAAGCCACGATTTCGTGAGTAGGGGCAGGCGATAGCACAGTTGCTTCAAAAATATTGGTTACTCCATAATTCATAAATTCTCAATTGAGTATTTGTTTAGCAATATAATTCAATCGTCTCGAAATTTTCCCTTATGATTTGTGGATAATTGCTTATAATAAATTTGTGTAAATGAAAATTAAATTAATTCACACTAGAGGACATTTAAATCGGTGAACGTGACAACCACGGCTCACGACTTGTGGGCGTGGTCTTGTCAGTTCTCAGCATTCAGCACAATGCCGCCAAGTCTCCAACATTCACATGATATTTTGTTTTGGAGAATTAGAAATATTTGGATATGCTGGTTGCTCAAAAAGGTCAAGAATGAACTAAAACATCATGTGTAATTGGAGACTTGACAACCTTGCTTCATGAGTGGAAATGGAAGATTATCTGACCAATAACGAAACGTCACCATTTATTCGACGTATCGCCAAATGGCGGACATGAAGGTTCGTTTGAAATGACCTCTGGAATTCAACAATTTCGAACAACACATACTCATTATTCACATAAAAAAGCGTGAGAAGGGTTGCAAAAATTGATTTAGGTTCCTAACGGCACAGTGGAGTAATTGAACGCCAATAATTCATCATCAGTTTACTCGCCCATTCCTCAAGATTGCTCGAGAAATTTGATCAACTCGATGCCACGGCGTTTGGATGCTGTAATTCTTTGATGTTTCTTGTAATATTTTTGTTTTGCCGGTAAATGCAAAAAACGGGGCGAGAATGAGCGATATTGATTTTTAGAAGTTTTTACAACTTGTTGATCGATATTTCTATGTAGGTTCTTTCTGAATTATTGTTGATAAATATAAAACAAAATCCATACTTTCTTAGAACACTTGTCTTTTCTCTTAAAAAAAAGATATTGACGTGAATCCCGTGTTGAAACGGGATCACACTCCAATCTAAAACACGAAGAAGCTCAGTTTAACCACTCACTTTTGACACAAGGATTTCAGGAGTTAAAGATGAAAGAGCAACTTTCTTTTTCTCTGTATCACGATTAAGCTATCAGGTTTTCTTTGGACCTAAAATTCAGGTTAACACTCCGAAACACGAATCTACGATTTGGCCGAAAAAAAGTTACAGGTCGATCAATTCCGGTAACATTTTTTGTGGCCGTTTTTTATGCCGTTGAGTAGTAGTTCAGAAAATCAGAAGTGATGATTGGCAGTCATCAATACCTTTTTCATTTCCTCTTCAGTGGGCTCTTGATAAACAATTGACCTTCTTTCCGATTTGACGAACAAATTTTCAGTCATTTCCGGTTCACTGTCGGTATCTGATTCCTCTATTGGTTCATTTATCCAAGCATCCAAGTCCAGACTGTAATATTGACCAATAATTTTGTGAACATGGCAACAGTGCAAAAACCCAACAAATCTGCAGATTACGTTTGAGAATGTTGGTAAAAAAATAGACAGTGAAATAATGACCTTTTTTGTGATATCAAATGTGAATGTTGATTGAACGGAAGATAAAAAAATCCAAAAGATACTTTCTACAATAATTCTTCTTCTCCTACACACCTCAATTCCTTTAACTGCTAGCACTTTTTGACTGTTGGATAAATAACTATTTCAATTACCATTTTTGTCAATAATCTTTGAAAATTTACCGATTGCTCATCTTTCATCACAAATAAATTGACAAGATCTAATATTCAAATTCATATCTTCATTAGAAGACGAAATATTTGATCAATCGAGATTTTGGAGGTTATGTAATACTCACCCATCAGGAATGGGTACTTTTTTCTGAGCCTTCGGAGCTACAGGATTCAATTCACCAGAAAACAAACTCAGCAGTTCATCGGAAATCAAATACGATTGCTCGTTTATAGGCTTTGATTCCATGGAACTGTCAGTTTCCATGATGTTATTGCTTGACGAACTTTTTCCTGCAATAAATGAGGAAAAATGCCATCACACTAATAAAGACCGATGTGGAGGACAATTTTCGTGTAGAGATAATATGATTGTGATTTTTAATTGACTATATATACAAGAATAGTAGATTGTTTTATTAGGATCAAAAGTGACACTTCGTTTGACAAGCGAATTTTGCATTTGCGAGGCGGAGCGTTTAGCGAAGCCGAGCGAAAGCAAAATTTGCGAGTCGAACAAAGTCACTTTTGATCCGAATGAAACATGCTATTTTTTCTGCAACCGAAACAATTAACTCAAATAAACATGTGAAGTAACCACCAATGCCGTGCCATATGTATGCAATGCAACAAATATTGACAGATAATCCATGTGGTGAGAATACTCTACCTGCATTTACAGCAGGTTAGGTATTCTAGGATGTTCGAATTGTAGTTTCAATATAAATACAATCACAGAGTGACATATTTGTGTATGGACCAGGTGCTCTAATGGCAAATACCGCGCCAGTGCCAGCTATAGGAACAAGACGTGGAAAATGTTAGGTTAGTGAGCATATCAACAATGATAATAGTGATTATTTATTCCTCTCCATACTGTGTTTGACTTGAACAAATGAAGCTGAACAATATCGTTGTTTGAGACAAAAAACTATTGCTTGCCGTGATTATTCAAAAACAAGTTATCCATCCCGAGAATAACGAATGAAATACAGATCAAGCAAGTATCTGAATCTTGATGGCTTCCCTGATCAAAACAAAAATACTCAACTGAGATGTTTATAATTCCAATACTGAACTATAATAAGGTGTATTTATATCTCCAGCATGGGTATGAAATGCCAAATCTGCTGAAATCGGAAACACATCAGGTATGCGTCTCAACCCAAATAACCAACCGTCACAATGTTGTTTATTCTTTATGACGTCCAGTAGATCCTTTTTAGATCCTAGGAGCTAAAGTTCAACTTTAGCTCCTAGGAACTAAAATTTAACTTTAGCTCCTAGGAACTAAATATGTTGCCTAGCAACATACCTATTATTGTGTCAGTAATAGAAACGTCAATTTAAGAGCTAATTTTGGTATCAAAACAGACGACTTTTGTGTCGGTTGCAGAAAAATATGATTTTCTCCAGAAATTAATAATCCTCGCTTCAAGTTTCTATTATGTTCAATGTTGATGTATACTAGAATTAAAAACACAACCAATTACCCCTCCCGCATATCGACGCACTTGAAATACTCACTCGCCGTAATCTCTTCTTGGACGATCCCGATGACAATCAACGATGTGCTGGCACGTTCCTGCACTTCCAGTTCACCGGATTTAACGCTATCGTTGAGTTTGTCGGTGAGAGATTCGCACACCCTGATTATGTCGTCGTATCTGTTGTCAATTTCGTACGTTCTCACAATGTGAGCGAATATTTTCAGGATGTTCTGCAGGAAGACCGACTCGATATGTTGCGGCACGAACTTGTATTTCAACATTGCTTCGAGCGTTTGCTCCGGTTTCTTCAATTCGCTACAAGTAATTGTTATTCATCTATCTATCATCAATTTACAACCATACAATGTGTTTATAACTTGTATGACCCTATATATAATAGTTTGGTACATGTATAACCCTATATAGTACAAGAGATTTTCATTTGTTGTTGAAATGACGTCAATAAAGAATTGCAATACGAACTGTAATTCTAATATCAATCTTTATTTCAATATCCAATATCAATTATAACCATACAAATACACTCCATTATCTATCAAGCATCGAACGTATTGGTCCTTCGAGCCGGATCTATTCAAATCAAACCTTCAAGAGCTGGAGTAAGAGTGAATGCCCAGCAGCCGGAACATTCACAAGTAGCAAAAAGCAGTTTAAGCGAACACAATCAATGTGTTTTGACTTTTCGAAAGTTTTATTCATGGTGATAGAAGAAAAATATGGTACTATAGCTGAATTATTCAAAGACGAGATTGTTTAGGACTTAACCTTGAAGGGTATCCAGCAAAATGTTGCCACTGCCATAAAAATCAAGCTCCAACAGCACAGATTAGTGAAGGAATGTTGCATCAGGGCCGGATTAAAATAAAGTTATTTATAAGCCTTCAGAATAGTAGTTAGTGATAGTCATAGATGTGCTCGTCCACTATGTTATGCTATGTACAACACTAGTAAAAAACTACCAAAAACTCATTTCCAAATTAAATAGGTAGCTAATTCAAAATTGAATAGATAAGATTCAAGTCAATTCGCATACATACTTACATATCTCCCAAATCTGTTGTTGAGAACTAAATTTATATCTGATGTTTTGAGCTCAAGATTCATTCTTATGAACACACGAAGGAGGACGAAGGAAGAAGAAATGAATCCGTGGAAAAATGAATTCAACATCATAAATAATTTCGACGACAGTGAAATGAATATATTCAAAAAGAAAATTAAAATTCACCTAACGAATTCACCGCATAGCCAGGCAGCAGCGTACAAAACCTCTTGCATGATAGTAAATTGTGTCGTCGAGGTATATATTTCCAACACTTGAGCCATTTCCGTTACTGCAAAGGACCTTATGGCTTGGACACGTATGCACACGTCCATTAATTGAGCTCCAATGACATGACCTGAAATAATAATTAGCTATCTTTTTTTCTGACAGGTAGGTACAGATGAAATTGCGAAAAAACAATTCATCGAGATAGACCATGGGAAAGTAGGAAATTTCTCGCTCTTCTTTTTCCTATCAGTGTCACTGAATTATTCGTGAAATACCTGCACCTGATACTGCCGTGAGTGATCACAATCAATTTGAAGGTTGATTCCAAGGATTTCACATTCAAAATGTAATACTGAATAAAGGAATTAAAAAAACTTTGAAATTTGTGCGATAAATGATGGTAGCTAGTTCACATTTTTCGAATTCGTGTATATCGGAACAGAATACGTGTGAAAAAAAATAATAAACCAATGGGGAAGTTTCCTTCGAATGAAATTTCATAAAATAAGTTCGGAACTCTCCAGTTTTATGTCCACGCTGAACAGAATGGCGACCGATAAAGTCCAAGTCGTTTTCATTTTCAAATTAACGCAATTTCTAATTTTCGGGGCGACAAACTGTGAATCTAGTCAGAAAATAGCTGAAGTCTGAAGAATATAGCTAGCGAATAGCTAACGAATGAAAAACGAATTAAAAAACTAGAAGAAGTGAAAATGGTAAACAAAAACATACATAACCACTAATGCACTCGGGGCAGGAATGCAGAAGGTAGTCGGCTTCATTCTGACAGGTTATGGTTTTGTTATTTATGCATTGAAATATCTCGAATAGAGCTCGATCCGAAACGAAAATATCATTGAATCAATGAATCACTATGGACTACATTCAATGATACTATCCTTCCTAATTTACAGCCATCGGTCAGAACAGAATGAAGCCGACACCCATGGCTCCTTCCTCTTGTTGTGCCTGTCAGTATTTTGAGTGGTGTTGACGGACTCGAAGTATTAGGCGCTGTTGCAAGATATAATCTGTAACTTTCCTAGAAAATCGATCTGTTTTATTAAGGAACGAATTCTTTAGCGAAAAAATGACTGACAAGTTATGAATAAGATAATATAGCGATAGTGAAAAGTTATAGATACCGCAAAATATCATAATTAATCTTTATTAGTAATCAACTTCATTCAGCAAATGAGAGATTTATGGGAATTATTTATAATACTTGACAAAGTAGGATTGAAGAACCTATTCTATCCCATTGCTGTTATGATATTGTTATTATGCATTCAAAGAACAATTTCCAGAAATCTGGACATATTGATGATGTCGGCAACGTCGAACTAGCACAGGGAATCGTATTTCAACTCTGTGTGAATGTCGATTTTCAAAAAGTGAGCCATAGAAATGGTGGAGGAGCCAAGTTCCTCTTTTATTTATTTTAAGTGAAATTTGATCTTACGAAAAAAAGAAAGAATACGTATATATTAATTTCTTACAAACTTCACAGTGAGATAAAAACCACAATATAGGAAACTTCCCCATTTTTTAAATTTTTTTCTGGAATGGCTGAAAAATTAGAAAATATTATATCAAAAGATATGGGTTTCACTTTTTCATGATACTGCAATTTTCAAGTTACCTGATACACAGATTCAATGCCAGCAGATATATATATATACAGGCTGATTCACGGTGGATGGCACATTAGACGTTTCTGGTGAACCAGACAACGGATCATTTTGAAAATTTGATGGAAGGCATATTTGGACATTCTCTAGCCAACTAAAATATTTTCGACAATGCGGTGTTGCCGCTTCTATTAGAAAGCAGTAGCAACTTTGATTTTTCAAATGGAACACTCTGTATTTTATTGCATTTTTAGATTCTCCCTGAAGAGCTGATTTCATCGATGTATCTCACTTGGGGTCTAGCGGAAATGATTACAGAGATATAGGGTGTGAAAAATCGACATTTTTCAACTTTAGGAATTTTTTTTGTCGAAACTATTCATTATTGGTCAAAACGGCTCACATGTCCCTATCTCAACTTTTGATCAATTATCTACTAACATTTAATTGAAACAAATACAAGGTGGTGCAGAATTCAGAATCTTGATCACCTGGTATATGTCCCAATTAAATATCAGTAGATAGTTAATCAAAAGTTGAGATAGGGACATGTAAGCCGTTTTGAGCAATGATGAATAGTTTCGACACAAAAAAATCCTAAAGTTGAAAAATCTCGATTTTGAACACCCTATATCTCTGTAATCATTTCCGCTAGACCCCAAGTTTGATACATCGATGAAATCAGCTCTTCAGGGAGAATCTAAAAATGCAATAAAATACAGAGTGTTCCATTTGAAAAATCAAAGTTGCTACTGCTTTCTAATAGAAGCGGCAACACCGCATTGTCGAAAATATTTTAGTTGGCTAGAGAATGTCCGAATATGCTCTCCATTGAATTTTCAAAATGATCCGTTGTCTGGTTCACCAGAAACGTCTAATGTGCCATCCACCGTGAATCAGCCTGTATATATATATATGTTATCTCACTGAGAAAGGGATTGAATAAAAATTGTGGTCCATAAAAAAAGGAACCAAAAGCTCTACAAAATAGTGATACCAAATCAATCTCCTGTTGAACAATCTACTAGATACTACCCAACTGTTTTTCGGTTCAACTTTAGAACTTTTGATTCTCAATTCTCGATAGGATATCATACCAAATTTCATGAGAAAAATATAATTTGTTTTTTTGAATGATGCATGCCATCACTTCCTCTACACTCTAAATATTGAATTAATTTTTTCGTAATTTTGGATATAACCTCTTCAAGATGAACACCAAAAAACATTGTTTGACAGAAGGTAGATTTGGTCGCACTAATTTAAAAGGCTTTTGATCTCAGATATTAGTGTCAAGAAAACTTTTAGAAGGAATGGAAATCAAGATTTGAAAAACAGTAACCAACTTCATAAGTATTTTCCACTTACCTTGTTTAGATCCAAATTCCATCTGAGCCAATTCCACCAAAACGGTGATGTACCACTCAAAATTAGTGATGAACTGGTAGTTATTCTGAGAACAAATCAAAATGATTTTGCTTAACAGTTCATCTCGATACACAGTACCTTCAGCCTTATCCATGTGTACCATCAATTTTTTCACTATTTCCATAAGGTTTTTTTTTGAAACCTAAGGAATTGAAACATTCACAAAATCAACAACATTTTTGCGAAAGTATATTCTGTTTTTAATGACGAATATAACAAATTAACAAGAAATAAATTTTGAAAAAGATTGAGTTTTATGAACAAGACAAAACTGTTGAAAAAGAATGAATATTTCTCACCATTCCATATAACAAATCTAGAGCTCTCAATCTGATGGACTCATCTTTATCTTCCATACATTGTAGAATGAGATCCTTATGTGCCTGTACACTTTTTGGATGAGTTTTCAAAATTTTCGACATGGCCAGCAATCCTAGATATTTAACTAAAAAAAATCACCTGAATGTCCCCATTTTAATTTTCTAATCTCGTTCGAATTATACAGGGTGATTTTTCTGACCGTCTATAACAATCAGCATCAAAAACAAAGATGACAAAATCCAAACTTTTTTCAAAGCAGAGCTAGCTCATTTCTGACTGCACCAATGACTTTTCTGGGTCGAAAAACTGCCTAATTAAGTCGCAAAACCGAAATGAAGTCGATACTTCGACAGACAGCGAAGATGTTTTTCGATTTCGAAACATTGAGCAATAAAACCAATGACAAAATCCAAACTTTTTTCAAAGCAGAGATAGCTCATTTCTGACTGTACCAATGACTTTTCTGGGTCGGAAAACTGCCTAATTAAGTCGCAAAACCGAAATGAAGTCGATACTTCGACAGACAGCGAAGATGTTTTTCGATTTCGAAACATTGAGCAATAAAACCAATGACAAAATCCAAACTTTTTTCAAAGCAGAGCTAGCTCATTTCTGACTGCACCAATGACTTTTCTGGGTCGAAAAACTGCCTAATTAAGTCGCAAAACCGAAATGAAGTCGATACTTCGACAGACAGCGAAGATGTTTTTCGATTTCGAAACATTGAGCAATAAAACCAATGACAAAATCCAAACTTTTTTCAAAGCAGAGCTAGCTCATTTCTGACTGCACCAATGACTTTTCTGGGTCGAAAAACTGCCTAATTAAGTCGCAAAACCGAAATGAAGTCGATACTTCGACAGACAGCGAAGATGTTTTTCGATTTCGAAACATTGAGCAATAAAACCAATGACAAAATCCAAACTTTTTTCAAAGCAGAGATAGCTCATTTCTGACTGCACCAATGACTTTTCTGGGTCGGAAAACTGCCTATTTAGGTCGCAAAACCGAAATGAAGTCGATATCTCGACAGATAGCGAAGATTTTTTTCGAATTCGGTATACAGAGCATAAAGTCCGATGTTGAAATCCAAACTTTTTTCAAAGTAGAGCTAGCTCATTTCTGACTGCACCAATGACTTTTCTGGGTCGGAAAACTGCCTAATTAGGTTGCAAAACCGAAATGAAGTCGATATCTCGACAGATAGCGAAGATTTTTTTCGATTTCGAAACATTCAGCAATAAAGCCAATGACAAAATCCAAACTTTTTTCAAAGTAGAGATAGCTCATTTCTGACTGCACCAATGACTTTTCTGGGTCGAAAAACTGCCTAATTAGGTCGCAAAACCGAAATGAAGTCGATATCTCGACAGATAGCGGAGATTTTTTTCGATTCCGAAACATTGAGCAATAAAGCCAATAACAAAATCCAAACTTTTTTCAAAGTAGAGATAGCTCATTTCTGACTGCACCAATGACTTTTCTGGGTCGAAAAACTGCCTAATTAGGTCGCAAGACCGAAATGAAGTCAATATCTCGACAGATAGCGGAGATTTTTTTCGATTTCGAAACATTCGGCAATAAAGCCTATGACAAAATCCAAACTTTTTTCAAAGTAGAGATAGCTCATTTCTGACTGCACCAATGACTTTTCTGGGTCGACAAACTGCCTATTTAGGTCGCAAAACCGAAATGAAGTCGATATCTCGACAGATAGCGGAGATTTTTTTCGATTTCGAAACATTGAGCAATAAAGCCAATAACAAAATCCAAACTTTTTTCAAAGTAGAGATAGCTCATTTCTGACTGCACCAATGACTTTTCTGGGTCGAAAAACTGCCTAATTAGGTCGCAAAACCGAAATGAAGTCGATATCTCGACAGATAGCGGAGATTTTTTCGATTTCGAAACATTGAGCAATAAAGCCAATAACAAAATCCAAACTTTTTTCAAAGCAGAGATAGCTCATTTCTGACTGCACCAATGACTTTTCTGGGTCGAAAAACTGCCTAATTAGGTCGCAAAACCGAAATGAAGTCGATATCTCGACAGATAGCGGAGATTTTTTTCGATTTCGAAACATTCAGCAATAAAGCCAATGACAAAATCCAAACTTTTTTCAAAGTAGAGATAGCTCATTTCTGACTGCACCAATAACTTTTCTGGGTCGAAAAACTGCCTATTTAGGTCACAAAACCGAAATGAAGTCGATATCTCGACAGATAGCGAAGATTTTTTTTCGAATTCCGTATACAGAGCATAAAGTCCGATGTTGAAATCCAAACTTTTTTCAAAGCAGAGCTAGCTCATTTCTGACTGCACCAATGACTTTTCTGGGTCGGAAAACTGCCTAATTAGGTAGCAGAACCGAAATGAAGTCGATATCTCGACAGATAGCGAAGATTTTTTTCGATTTCGAAACATTCAGCAATAAAACCGATGACAAAATCCAAACTTTTTTCAAAGCAGAGATAGCTCATTTCTGACTGCACCAATGACTTTTCTGGGTCGAAAAACTGCCTAATTAGGTTGCAAAACCGAAATGAAGTCGATATCTCGACAGATAGCGGAGATTTTTTTCGATTTCGAAACATTCGGCAATAAAGCCTATGACAAAATCCAAACTTTTTTCAAAGCAGAGATAGCTCATTTCTGACTGCACCAATGACTTTTCTGGGTCGAAAAACTGCCTAATTAGGTCGCAAAACCGGAATGAAGTCGATATCTCGACAGACAGCGAAGATGTTTTTCGATTTCGAAACATTGAGCAATAAAACCAATGACAAAATCCAAACTTTTTTCAAAGCAGAGATAGCTCATTTCTGACTGCACCAATGACTTTGCTGGGTCGAAAAACTGCCTAATTAGGTCGCGAAACCGAAATGAAGTCGATATCTCGACAGATAGCGGAGATTTTTTTCGATTTCGAAACATTCGGCAATAAAGCCTATGACAAAATCCAAACTTTTTTCAAAGCAGAGATAGCTCATTTCTGACTGTACCAATGACTTTTCTGGGTCGAAAAACTGCCTAATTAGGTCGCAAAACCGAAATGAAGTCGATATCTCGACAGATAGCGAAGATTTTTTTCGATTTCGAAACATTGAGCAATAAAGCCAATAACAAAATCCAAACTTTTTTCAAAGCAGAGATAGCTCATTTCTGACTGCACCAATGACTTTTCTGGGTCGGAAAACTGCCTAATTAGGTCGCATAACCGAAATGAAGTCGATATCTCGACAGATAGCGGAGATTTTTTTCGATTTCGAAACATTCAGCAATAAAGCCAATAACAAAATCCAAACTTTTTTCAAAGCAGAGATAGCTCATTTCTGACTGCACCAATGACTTTGCTGGGTCGAAAAACTGCCTAATTAGGTCGCGAAACCGAAATGAAGTCGATATCTCGACAGATAGCGGAGATTTTTTTCGATTTCGAAACATTCGGCAATAAAGCCTATGACAAAATCCAAACTTTTTTCAAAGTAGAGATAGCTCATTTCTGACTGCACCAATAACTTTTCTGGGTCGAAAAACTGCCTATTTAGGTCACAAAACCGAAATGAAGTCGATATCTCGACAGATAGCGAAGATTTTTTTTCGAATTCCGTATACAGAGCATAAAGTCCGATGTTGAAATCCAAACTTTTTTCAAAGTAGAGCTAGCTCATTTCTGACTGCACCAATGACTTTTCTGGGTCGGAAAACTGCCTAATTAGGTTGCAAAACCGAAATGAAGTCGATATCTCGACAGATAGCGAAGATTTTTTTCGATTTCGAAACATTGAGCAATAAAACCAATGACAAAATCCAAACTTTCTTCAAAGCAGAGATAGCTCATTTCTGACTGCACCAATGACTTTTCTGGGTCGAAAAACTGCCTAATTAGGTTGCAAAACCGAAATGAAGTCGATATCTCGACAGATAGCGGAGATTTTTTTCGATTTCGAAACATTCGGCAATAAAGCCTATGACAAAATCCAAACTTTTTTCAAAGCAGAGATAGCTCATTTCTGACTGCACCAATGACTTTTCTGGGTCGAAAAACTGCCTAATTAGGTCGCAAAACCGGAATGAAGTCGATATCTCGACAGACAGCGAAGATGTTTTTCGATTTCGAAACATTGAGCAATAAAACCAATGACAAAATCCAAACTTTTTTCAAAGCAGAGATAGCTCATTTCTGACTGCACCAATGACTTTGCTGGGTCGAAAAACTGCCTAATTAGGTCGCGAAACCGAAATGAAGTCGATATCTCGACAGATAGCGGAGATTTTTTTCGATTTCGAAACATTCGGCAATAAAGCCTATGACAAAATCCAAACTTTTTTCAAAGCAGAGATAGCTCATTTCTGACTGTACCAATGACTTTTCTGGGTCGAAAAACTGCCTAATTAGGTCGCAAAACCGAAATGAAGTCGATATCTCGACAGATAGCGAAGATTTTTTTCGATTTCGAAACATTGAGCAATAAAGCCAATAACAAAATCCAAACTTTTTTCAAAGCAGAGATAGCTCATTTCTGACTGCACCAATGACTTTTCTGGGTCGGAAAACTGCCTAATTAGGTCGCAAAACCGAAATGAAGTCGATATCTCGACAGATAGCGGAGATTTTTTTCGATTTCGAAACATTCAGCAATAAAGCCAATGACAAAATCCAAACTTTTTTCAAAGCAGAGATAGCTCATTTCTGACTGCACCAATGACTTTTCTGGGTCGAAAAACTGCCTAACTAGGTCGCAAAACCGAAATGGAGTCGATATCTCGACAGATAGCGTAGATTTTTTTCGATATTGAGCAATAAAACCGATGACAAATTCCTAACTTTTTTCAAAGCAGAGATAGCTCATTTCTGACTGCACCAATGACTTTCCTGTGTCGAAAAACTGGCTAATTTAAAATGAAGTCGATATTTCGACAGACAGCGGAGATGTTTTCCGATTTCGAAACATTGAGCAATAAAGCCAATAACAATATCCTAATTAGATCGCAAAACCGAAATGAAGTCGATATCTCGACAGATAGCGAAGATTTTTTTCGAATTCGGTATACAGAGCATAAAGTCCGATGTTGAAATCCAAACTTTTTTCAAAGCAGAGCTAGCTCATTTCTGACTGCACCAATGACTTTTCTGGGTCGAAAAACTGCCTAATTAGGTCGCAAAACCGAAATGAAGTCGATATCTCGACAGATAGCGGAGATTTTTTTCGAATTCGGTATACAGAGCAATCAAGTCCGATGTTGAAACCTAAACTTTTTTCAAAGCAGAGCTAGCTCATTTCTGACTGCACCAATGACTTTTCTGGGTCGAAAAACTGCCTAATTAGGTCGCAAAACCAAAATGAAGTCGATATTTCGACAGACAGCGGAGATGTTTTTCGATTTCGAAACATTGAGCAATATAGAATGGGCCTGTTTCAGTGAACAATTTCATTTTATCATTTCGAAGTACTGGGTCTTCAACAATGATTTGAGTGTCACGTGGTCATTTTTGATGCGGCGTCACTTTTCCACTCACGTTAAAGAGATACGATTGTATTATTGGTTGCATAGTAATCTGTCACGTGGTTTTCAATCATTGTTGAAGACCCGTTACTAACCATAACTAGTTTACTGTCGCGAACCGTTCTCTTCCTCAGAGCTCTGTAACTTTTTCACACAACACAACACAACACACAACTAAAGAATAAGATAATATGAGGACTATCTTTAAATATTCACATCTTGACTAGATGAAACTAAGATTTGACGATGAAGGTGACAGCCGAAGTTAGGTTGACAATGTATTTTGTCTTCTTCCTCTTTTTTTTAATTCTGCCAGCCAGAACTTGGTTCATGACGTCATCAAACCTTGCCTTTTTTAAAGTCACCAGAATTAGTTACCGAAAGAAAATATTTGCGATGATTTTAAATAACGAATGGTTTCATCAAATTCGACTGGTGTATACAACCCCTTAAGAATTTAAAACAGGACTGATTCTCCTCCACAACCATAAATAATGAGTATTCAAATTTGATATTCTAACCTAAAAGATGGTTTCCATCACTTGTATAGTTCTTTGTTCTCGAAACACTTACGATAGACGGTAAAAAAATCAACCTGCATATAATGTTCACAAAAACATAAGTACTAACTAGACCGCTAACGAAAATGCCATACGATCATCAGAGCTCAATTTTTCATGAGATCGAACTTGGGACCTGTCATATTAGGGAGAATGATAAACTAATGTTCCATAAACTTTATTGATAGGAATGGTAACAAAAAATGTAGGACAAATACTGTGATGTTTAGAGATGCAGCATTTCAAATGCCATTGTGCATCAGGATAGGTAGTATATTAGGTATGAGTATAAGCATAAGGTGATTTTCTATATTGTTCCTTCTCTAACCACTATAACTACTGCTGAATAAAATGAATTGAAAATAAAATACATGTATCTTAATTCCTCTTACTCATAATTCTGAACACCAAGAGACATGATTCGATGTCAGATGTCAGGAACGACAGTTTGGGAATTCTGTGCATTGAGCAGAATCGTTTTCAGGCGAGCAATTTGAATGAAATGTTCGGGTTGCTGGAATATGACATATAGCGGCCTAGTTAGTAATTATGTCAGTGAATTTTCACTAAAATATAAAATCTGAGTAGCTTACGATTTTGATCGGAATCTTCTATGAGTATCCTCAGTTTCTGAACGCAGAGTTGAATGCTGGCTGCATGGTTTGGCATGCCTGATGATATGCTGATTAACACAGCTATTACTGTATTTATACACTCGTATAGTAAACTCATTGCAGAAGTACTGAAAATATCATCGTCGCTCATCAAGCAACAGAATTCTTAATTTCAATCGCAAATCACAATCTTGCACATAATAGCTATTTTTGTATTCAGAGCTTAAAGTAATAATTTGTCGCTTAACATACATAGTTCAATTTTTGGAAAGCATCAATAATACTTTGTGCTTGAAATACAAACAAAATTTTGTCTACAAACGCAGCTCTGAACAAAAAACAACAACAATTGACTAGCAAACAACTGAAGAAAAAATACTGGCGCCCGGGACTGAATCCGAACCGACCGTCCAGTAGGCTTTGCTTCAGGACCCTAGGCCATGTGACTACATAAATAAAGATCTGATAACAAACTATTATGAAACCAAGAAATACTTCTCCAAATCCCCAAAAAACGCTTCCGTTAGAACACAACGGAAAATGTCAGCGATACTGACGTCACAAGTACTATACCTCACCGACCGTCTATTGGTAGTAAAAAAAAATCGATAAATAAAATCTTTGTCCATGAATGTACTAACTAACTCATATCTTGGAATTGGAAACAATACAATATAAGTATTATGCAGATTTATCCAGAGTGTCCGGAGAGGTTATGTCATAAATGATGGGGCTGATAGAGGGAGCCAAAATAATGCAGGTGCTCGGTATAAAAAAATGTTTATCAGACTTTTATTTGTTCCATTCTGGTAGCGGTGGCGGGAACAGAATGACGTTTACAAATAAAACGCGAATCTTCATGACCTTGCATGGGAGAATTCACATAAGAGGTTATATTTATATATTGGGGCTCCAAATAATTTCAAAATCATGATACTACAGTTCAGAATATCGAGTCTAGAAAATCAATCAATGAATATTTGGAACAGTGATTGTGGTGATTGGAGAAACTTCTCTGATTGATGGAATAAACCTCTGGTGTATCATGCACTTCAATCTTTTCCTGTTTTACAGTAGTCTCTGGTGCCGTACCAAAGTTACAGGCATATATTTACTATTTCTATATATGGCGCATCGCCTATACGATATCTCAACAAAAATGGGACCAAAATGAGAGGTACTTTTTGAATCTATAAGGACGGAAAGTGAAGGATAGAAACAGCCATATTGGTTTGACAAGTTTCGTATTATTTTTTCCTTACGTCGGCATCAACGCCAATGGGCGTGTACACCTTAGTAGAACTTTCAACTCAAACCATGTTTATAATGATCCTTTTATACATAAATAATGATTGACGACATAATTGGATCGAACAATGAACTGGAATGTTTTATTTTTGGACATAAATAATAGTAACTTCTGAAAACGGACCCTCTTATGACGTAGAAACCTCATCTCGCTATAGTTAAAAAAAAATACCAAACGCCCGACGGAGACTGATAGGCAACTGATATATTAATTCTTTCAACTGTGATCTCGCGCTAAATCACTCTGTCAGAAAACATGTATCATAATATATATATCTGTGTCTGGAATAGTCTTGTTTCAGTATTAGGGTTTTGACGTCACATCATCGCCTCGTTTTCAGAGGTCCGAACAATCGGAGATTTCAATAATTTTTTATAAAACGTAGGCAGCTCACAGCAAGAAACGGTTTGCGTTGGTGAGCTAGTTTGGGTGAGTTCTATCGAATTATGAAATAAAATTTTTTTGTGATATAAGCCAATTGGCCGATTTCGTTACCTATAGAGACAGAAGTTGGTCCCGCTTTGAGGACAGCTATGCTTCATACATGAGTAGTAGATATATGGTTACAGGCATCAATGTGACGTGACCGAATTTGTGACCAGTGAAGATAGGGAATACATTTTGCGATTTAGCCGCATCAAGGTTGGTAGAACTGATGTTGATCATGTTCTAGGAATCACGCCATCTAACATTCAATATGTGAACCCCACGTCATCGTCTGAAATTCAATTGTTTATATCAAGTTATCAAGAACCAGTCTGACAAAACAAATGAAGAGTGAACGCACCAGAGGTTTATTTCATCAATCTTCTCTGAGATCCAGAGAATTAATTTTATCTGGGAATACATATGAAACCTGTCCTACTTGAAAGAATAATGAACTTGTGAATTTCATGATCACAAGGTCTTCTAAAAATGTCTTCTACTTTCAAAAAATTTCGTTTTTCGTCAATCTAATATAATTTTTTTATAAATGTCAACACTCATTCCATATCATTCCTTGAAGTGAGACGGACTGAAAAGTAGCAACCGGAATCGGAAAAGTTGTGAATAAAACAACACATTAATCATTAAAGTGATTCCGGTGGCGGAATCGGATAAATAAAACGCAACTATTGACTTTGAGAGTTTCTGCAAGGCCATGCATAAGGCATACTTATCATTACCAAACTCATCCATGGTGTTACCAAAGTATTAAATAAATACTGCCAAAATACCTTTGAAACAGATGGGATGTATGTTTTCAAAATGTGATTTCCACTAGAATGGTACAAGATATTGATTAAAATAAAGTATACTATGTTTGTAGGAAAAAAATGAAGCAATCAAATGGTGGAAACAAAATGCCAACATTTGTCCCATCTGTCAAAAATGCCTCTATTAACTCATTAGTGCATAATGTGTCTCATAATGGACGGTCCTTGTCTAATTTTTTGTGACGTCAATCATGCAGGAATTGAATGTTTCATGCGCCAGAACTATAAGTGTAGTTCAACAACAAACAGCTATCGCTTCTATTTCATGAATTTGTATTTCGACAATATTCTGCACGTGATCAAATAGATAACAATTTGTATTGCACCCGACAAGGAGGGTAAGTATTTATTATAACGGAGTATAATGAATTTCAGAATTTCCTATCCCTCAAGATCTCATTATATGCATGTGTTTATGAACCTATAAGGTAATTCGAATGATTATTTTCTTTGTAAGACACTCAAAATATTGCTTTTGTGTTGTGTCCATTATAATGGACTCTATGCATATCGGTCATCAAGATTTTTTTGTAGATCATTCTTGCACCACCTCTTAGACATATGGAAAATGGCTCAGTTATCGATCAACCAACAGATAATCATATATTATATTGCCTCCAGAAGAAAAGTTGGCAGAAATGCAGTTATTCGAATTTAGAAACTGCGAATCCAAAATAAATCATATTTCTAAAGGAATTATCAAACAGCCGTGCGACTTTCGTTATTCTGATCCTAATTTTGATGAAATTGAAAATAATATACATCTTTGCATTATGAAGAGGAATATTATTGCATCAAATGATTGTACGTTATACTGCAGCACGTCAACTATATAGACACGACTCCATCCACTCGTTCGACTACTCTTTTTCTTCAACGGGTTCACATTTCCTTCCACTGGATCATGTGAGGAGCACCGAAAAAAGGTCTGGAAGTATCATCCCAAATAATTTCTTGATATGATGCATTTCCATATACCCATCAGCTGAATTCCATTCAAGTATACAAAATTGCAATTTTATATGTAAAATAGGACTGCATCTGAGAGATGCTTCAAAATGTATCAAGTCATCATGATGTATAATTCTCATTATTATTATTATTGATAATATTGTGATTGATGTTATTGAGTTTTCCATGTTCTGGATATGTAATTGAATAAAAATGAATACTGAAATTTTCTACTGATCACTTTCATCAATGTACCAATTTGCATAGAGTCCATTAAAATGGGCGTGTCATATAAAAAAAATCTGTTGTACAAAAAAATTATTCGTCATGAGTTATCATTCTTTGGGTATATTTGAATGGGTAAACATCTTCAGAATATAGAGATTTGAAAAAAAGTAACTTCATGCACTAATGGGTTTTAAACAGAAAGAATCAGTCCCATATCCTGTATAAAATATAATCACATTGATACCATGGCAACATTTGAAAGTTATACATGAAATATATATTTTTTATTAATCAAACTTACAAGGTCAATAACTTTGAAAAGTAGAGTAAGATAGATTTTTTTTTTATATAAGAAGTACCTACAGACATTATTTTGGCTCACTCTATCAACATTATCATTTATGACACCCTGTATATGAATATAAATTAGCAACTACTACATACCTGTGTATAAGGTTAGTCAAGGGTTCAATCAACTTTTTACCTAGCCTAGGTTCTAAAGGAGTAAGGGCACCAAACTAAAAACAAAATAAATCCATAAAAACCAGAATGTTTGGCCAGGTAAGTAGTTAATTTTGCATTCATCATCTATTAGTGGTTTTTGAAGATTTTTTTTATTTTGTAATGAAAATATTAGGCACCTCTTGGGCAGAAAAAGGGCAAACATAATCATTCCTGCTAAGAAGAAAAGAAAGAAAAATACAAGAAGAAATTTACAGTGGTGCCAATTTTAATCACATTTAACATCTGATACCTCTGTAGCTCTAGCCAACCTCAAATGAAATGTGAAAATATTGTCAATTCTTATTTCTCCTCCTTTGATTAAAACACCATTAAGCATACTCTTAGGCTCAAGCCCAATACTAATTTATAGTTTAATCACACCTTTATAACATAGTTTTTGAGCCTAATAGGCAGGTGCTGAAATTATCAAGGAACAAAACTGATAAAGGTAGTTGAGGTCTAGCATATTATCATCAATGGTCCTCTCAATTAAATAGGTACCTACTTTGCAATTATTTTCATGAGTGGTTGTGTCAACTTGAGACCAACAGCAGGTACCACCATTGTAAAGGAAGAAAACTAAGTAGATATTATATATCAATTAAAAAAACATGCTCATTGATCATCAACTCACCAGTTTGATGATTTTAATCAGCATCCAGTTATTTGTACTTGTTGTCATCAATTTGAAAAAAACTGGTGCAAGACTAAGGTAATTTTTTGGGTTCTTTCTTGCTAATTCACAAACAACATTCACTGCAGCAGACTGAACACCTAAAAAACAATTCATGCAAAAGAGAATGTACTCCTGAATTCAATTTAATTTAATTAAGGAATATTGATGACAAGCTTGTTGATACCTGGATCAGGATCTTCTAATTTCTCTTTCAATCTGGGAAATGCAGGCCTTAAGGCTTCAGGATATTTCAGAAAAACCTTATACATCATCAAAACAGCCTTCTTCCTGATGTATGGTTTGGTAGAACTGAGCTAGAAGCAGACATTGCCCAGTTTGTCCAAATCCTAGAAGAATAATTCTTGACTTACCAGAGTTAAAATATCATTTGATAGATCCCTAGCTAGATCAGTACTTATGTAACAACTCAAAGATGTCAGAGCTAGGCCAGATTCATACTGATTCTGGGAATTCAATTCCTTCCTAATCATATTGGTAGTTAACATTAATAGCTGAAATAAAAAGCCATAACTATCTAGTCGACACTATAGCAGTAATACTCACTTCTGAATCACAGTGGAATGACTGACTTGCAGCCAAATAACCAATCCTTTTCAAAGTAAATTTACTAGAACTCATAACTTCAATTATGTTGAAACCAGCCCAAGATACATCATAACCTAACATTTGGAGCTGAAAATGAATACTAAATAAGATATGATCAAAAATATGAATGGCTTTGAATAGTATTAGGTCAAAGAAATACATTGCTGGGTGTTGGTATAAAAATATCAGACAAAGCTGGAAGGCAATAACATTTTTGAACTTAAAGCATATGTTTGGATGCTGAGCCCCAAATGTGGAACTGGCCAACTGTGCTTTTTGTAATCCAAATTGTAAGTATTAAAGCAGTTTCCTTACATAAGTGAGTTTTGCAATTGCATTGCTCTTGACGGATAAATTATCTTGTCGGAGTTCTTGTTTGATACCCTCCATGCATTCTGAAATATATTTGGCCTAAAATAAAACAACATAAGGGAGAGTCAGTAAAAAATAAACCACATAACCTTAATGAGCAATTTTTACCTCATTTTCTTTGTTATTCCTTATTCCTCTCACTAGATCTGTTAAATTCTTATCAAACATTCGTTCTATGTTTCCTTTTACCTTTTTTAAAGCCATTTATGAGCTGAAATTCATTGAGAAATCAATAAAAATCACAGTGTATAATTGACAAAATAAACCTACGATTTTTATTTCGGTTTGTATATTTTCTGTCTGGAGGAAATACATAAAACTCATATCATATCACAGTTCCAGTTTAACTTCACAGTCCTTACGAATGCGAAAATGAAAAAAGAGATTTTACACTTTGTAAAATCAACAAAAATCCGCCACGTTTGTTCAGTTGTCAAAATCAAAATGCATTGACCTTAAATTGACAATTGACATTGACGACTATGACACCGACAATGGATGCTGCCAACTGCATAAACCGATGGGAAATGAAAAACAGCGGTGTTCACGACCAAACCTTTTACGTTTTGCTTTTTACGTTCTGATTGGTGAAGCAGAATCTGAAATTAAACGTGAACAAAAAAACGTCAACTTGAGTTTTTACAGCTTTTCTCAGTTGCCTTGGTTTTGTCATTCCTGCTTCATCCTAAAATGAAGTGAAATAATCATAGACATGGCGGAGACGTAAATTCAATACTCACGAAGAGGAAAATTAATCCTAAAAGAAGAGAATAAGAATATGAACACTGCAACGCAAAATGCTGAAAACATTCTGCTTTTTGCATCATTTTAATTCCAGATTTTGATTTACCAATCAGAATACGAAACGTTAAAAGCAAAACGTAAAAAGTTAGGTTGTGAACGCCGCTTTAAACTTCTTTCGTGAGAAATGTTTCAATGATTCCCTGATAGATGGAACGCCTAGCGGATTGGGTCAAGGTTGGTAGAACTGATGATTATTTGTTTTTGGATGTGAAAAGAAATTCTAAATTGAAAAAACCTAATCACTAATCTACGATTTAAGGTTTATGAAAATCACAAATATCCATCGTTCAAATTTGAATCCCTTGATTGGGTGAAAGTATTGAAATGGAATATTCTCAGATTAATTATAAATGATCATAAAAAAATGGATATATATAGGGTGGCATTGAAATAAGTGCAAATATTTTAAACACTGAGAAAGTCGAGCTTTGTACTATCGAATGGCACTAATAAAAAAATCCTCGATATTCTCTCCTTATTCAGATAAAAATATGTATGCACATTTATATGACTTTATATTCGAATGAACTCATTTCTCCCCAGTATAACCTGAAGTCCAGTTTTTCTTTCAGCCATTCTTCATGATATACACAATTTTTCATCTCTCTATAATATAACTATAAAGCTACCTATAAACTGTAATCGCAGATTCGTTCTCTCAATTCCGAATTTCTTTCCACGTCCTGTATGATGAATATCAATATGTCATATACATCCAAAAACAAAAACATCCAGATGACAGGGATTGAATGTCAACAAATAATTCTCAGATTCAGTTCGTTATAGTTTTATTTATATTATATGGAGAGATGAAAATTGTGTACATCATGGAGATATAATGGCTGATACTGATGGACATATTGGTAAGTTATATTTTTATATCATATTATTTATCTCATTTGAGAGAGAATGTCAATTCTCAATTTCAGATGATTTTCATTTTTAATGCTCTCATTTTGGATGTTCAGCAGATATAATTCAATGCTCGACGTGGCAAATAGCCAGGAAAGTAGTTGTTTTCTGTTGAATATTTAGAATGATATTATATGTGCATATATATTTTTATCTGAAGGAGAATACCGAGGAGAATACAAATTCTCAACTCGAGAAGATTTTGTTTTCAAATTCTTATATCGTATGCATGTGTGTTCAATGTTCGTTGTGGCATATAGCCAGTAAATTAGTTGTTTTCTGTTCAATAAACCGAGAAGGAATCGATATTTTCATCATAATATAGAGAATGCAAATTCTCAATATAATATGTCTTCATATATATACAGGGTGAGTCATTGAAATGGGAAAGTGAGATAACGTCTTCGCTGTTTGAGATATATGAACAAACATTTTTGTGATGGTCTAGGCTCATGAGCATCATATTTCCAAAATGTTTTGCGCTATACAGGGTGACTCAAAAATGCGTGACGTATAAAAGTTATACTTTTTCTTATGGGACACCCTGTATTTCATTGCATTTTCGGATTCTCCTTTGTGAACTGATTTCGTCACTGCATCCCACTTGGGGTCTAGCAAAAATGATAACAGAGATATAGGGTGTTCAATATCGATATTTCTCAACTTTATAGGATTTTTTTGTCTCGAAACTATTCATTATTGGTCAAAAAGGCTTACATGTCCCTATCTTAACTTTTCATTTCATATCTACTGATATTTATCTTGAATACAGGGTGGTTCATAATTCTGAATTATCAATATTCACCCAAGAATCATTTTATATCTGCATTCTTGTTATTTCTCACCATTTCACGGCTATTACCAAGTAGTGATCATTTTCAAATCATAAATTGATAAAAACTCATTTAAGAAATTCTATATATGACAAGAAGGGTAAGGAACTTTTATAGCTTTCCAACCCATCGAAAAGTCTATGGCCCGAAATTTAAATTTTGATGATGTTATTAACATTTTTGCTGAAGAGAAGAATGAAACAGAAGCCATCTTGAGATTCTTACATGATCTGACCAATCGCAAGCAAAAGATAACTTGTGGGTTATCACGAAAACAATATTGCTGTCTTTCAATTCTTATTGGTTTAATATAGGGTTGGTGTTTTCAACGATGTTATCATGGATAGTGAAGGAAAGTCTGTCAGTTCGACATAAAATATTTATGCTGCAGATGTCAGAATGGTTATACAGGGTATGACGAGCTAACACTATCTTTATATCGCGAATCAGTCGGGATAAATCCATGCAAACGCTATGCAAATGTGCATGCTCATCTTTTGGAATACGCTCTCTTTATTTAAAATATTTTCGACAATGTAGTGTTGCCGCTTCTACTAGTAAGTAGTAGCAACATTGATATTTCAAATGGAACACCCTGTATTTTATCAAATTTTTAGATTCTCCTTGAAGAGCTGATTCTATCGATTTATCACACTTGGGGTCTATCGAAAAAGATTACAGAGATATAGGGTGTCCAAAATCGAGATTCCTCAACTTTTTTTGTGTCGAAACTATTAATTATCGGACATCACAAATCTTTGCCTGGTTTTTTTTAGCGAATTGCCTGATCTAGTATAGAATACTGATGTTTCACTGTCATAAATTGATAATTCTTCTTGTTACTGTGGATTTCAAGAAGCGTGAGATAAATAAAAATTGTGGGTACTGGCATAATCTGAGGTTTGCGAAAAAGTGGACGGCAATGGTCTCTGTAATTTGCACCGCTCATGATTCTGACTACTTTCTTTGTTGAACGAATATTTTGTGGGAATGACGTGTTCTGCCATGATAGGAGGATCTGAGAACCTCTGAACTGACTATTTTCTTTATTCTACGGATCAAAAATGTAATCGAAGACAATTTTTGGCTCAACTGTTCCACATGAGCTGCCCAATTGAGTTTGTCATCAATTACAATGCCCAGTAGTGTAACAGTCTTTCCAGAAGAGTGTTCAGTTCAAGTGTATTTGCAATAAACCAGTAATTGGCTTTCTCCCGAGAACGTTCCACAGATTCGGACAAAGTTCGCAAATTCATTCAGAATTCATCTGCAAAGAGAACATCGTTGATTGGAAGCATATGATAGAATAAATCATTTATATACACAATGAACAACTAGGGTCCCATGACTGATCCCTGGGGAACACCATGTGCAATTTTAGCGAGAGATGATTGACTTCCATTCACCATAACTCATTGAGATCTCCCATCCAGAAAACTAGGGTTAGCATAGATAGATGGAAAGCGTAGAAGGACCGCAACGTGCTCTTCGGTGCTTCAGACTTGGACAGCCGTATCCTGGTGGGACAGCAAAATATACAGAGTCAGTCTCATGCGTGTGGCGACGCCGATAGTTAGCGTTCTCGTTCAATCGTCCGACATCGCCTCGAGATAGCGATCGCCGGTTAACCACGATTTTTCCGCGTGAATTTCCCGAGGCAGAAAGTTTTCCGTGAAAAATTCGAGAAAAGTTTATCGGTGAATATTTTGGGAAAAAAAGGGGTTTCGTGAAAATTATTTCGGGAAAAACGGCGATCGAGGCTGTGCTGACTCCACGAGACTTTTCGAACTGGTGAGTACATTTTTTTTCCAATTCAGACTGAGAAACACGAAAACATCTCTTCTCAAAAAAACGATACAATTTCTCAATATGTTTCTTCATTGTTCGTATATCGTCTCAAAGGTTTTGGAAGATTCCAAATTATTTTTTAAATTTTTGTTTCATAATTGGTTACAAATATATAACTCAAACAAACTCATGAATCTCCCGAGCACAGAGAATTTTTCGTGAAAAATATATCGTCTGAAAGAATTCAAAGATGATTTCCTGTTATGAATTGGTGAACCCCAAAAACAGAAGATTTTCCGTGAAAAATATATCGTCTGAGTTCCAAAGATTCAAAATTTTTTTTTTAGAATTTTCAGAGAGCCTAAAAGAAAAATTCACTAGCTTGTCAGTGATAATGTGTATTGAAAAAGGTTGAGAGAAATATCAAATTTTCACTTATGTTTGGACGTTTCGGGAACGAATCTGCTCCCGTTTTCAACATAAAAAATATTTTGTTTATATCAGGAAATTCAACTCAAAACACTGCCAGAAAAAATTACTCGTCCTATACGAACTCGTAATTTTTTCAGAGGCCGTTTTTTTCGTCAAATTGCCAGGCAACAAAATTTGTCATGTTTACTTCGACAAAACAAAGCTCCCGTGTAATTAATTAATAAGTGAAAATTTCGACAATAGATTGCTCCAAAAATTGCAAAAAAAAACAATTTCCCCCTCGATGTCCCCCTTTCTTATCTGAAGTTGATACAATTGAAATAATTTTCCCGAATAACGTCTATAAACGGTGAATCCGAAGATGAGAGCCACCAGATTGAATTTTCATGAATTGATGTTGATAAAATACATTTTTCTGATACACTTCTACATTCCTGATATTGTTATAAAGGGTGCTTTTCGAGGTTGGGTCATGATTTATTGGAGAAAACATTTTTCGTCGTATTCTTTTTGGTGAAAAAATAGAAGCATTTGGAAAAACTACGTGAAAATAGTACCAACTCTAATCAAAATATAAAAATTTCAACCGTTTTCGAGATTACCTCGGAGATTACTTATTTGTGTTTTTGTAGTGACATATGATGTTATCAGCTCATCAACAGATAAATTCATCATTAATATTTCAAGAGGCCTCGAACTTCTTGGATGGACATGCATCATCTGAATTTTTCGTTTTTAAACATTCTTTATCACGCACATAATACGCTCAAAATTGTTCTAGAATTTAGAACTCGTCGAGCGGGAAACATCTCGGCATAATGAATAAACTGAAATTTCTCAAAATCGCAGTTGAAGATCACACAATAATAATATTACTAAGCAAAAAACGAATGAAGGAAATTAACAGTAACAATCCCAGACAGCACCAGATATTCCATGAATCTCCCTATCATATTCCTTTTGGAATATTGGAATATTCTAGAAATAATCTGGAATATTCCGGAATATCTGTGGAATATTCTCTAAATATGCGAATGGGAATTCCTCAGATAATCATAGAATATACCCAAAAGAATATTCTATGTTGAATGTTCCTGGAATATTCCAATAAACATATTTCAAAATGAAAAAAAGTGACCCAAGTAGGGATCGAACTCGTGACCTCAAGACTATCAGAGCAACCCCTTGACCACTAGGCCAGTAATCGAATTGAATAATGTTATACATATCAAGTTCTTGTGAGAGCATTGTTCGAAATCGGATCATAAACACTTTTTGTTTCAAAATCCCCTTACATCTATAATTGATGTTCGATACTCACATCTCTGAAATAATAATTGGTATTTATGTGTTGGGAAACATAGGAATATTCATGAAATATTTCATGAATATACACCACAGAATATTCAGTTGAGAATATTTCATGAATATACCGCACAGAATATTCAGTTGGGTATATTTCATGAATATACAACAGAGAATATTCAGTTGGGAATATTCCTGGAAGATTCATACCTGAATATTCCCTGAATATGTCCGACTATTCACTTTGGAATATTCCTTTTAGATGTTCCAGAGGCATGTATATATTCTAGGAATAATCGATGAATATTCGGAATATACTTCTCCTTTTTAGCATATTTAGAGAATATTCTATGAATATCCAGTGCTGTCTGGGATGTTAGTGTCATAAACGGCAAAATTAAGAAGAAAATTTGATCATGGCCTCCTAAAATTTTGTTACGGATGAAAATAATCTGCTGATATCAACAAACGGTTAAAGTTTTTGTATTTTGCGAGGTATTTTGATAAGAGTATCGTTTTTATGTATTTTTTTTTTCGTTCTGTATCAAATTCTCTTATTTTTTCACTAAAAAAATAGAAATGAAAAGTTGTTTTCAACAAATCATGACCCACCCTGTAAAAATACCCTTTATAACAATATCAGAAATGTAGAAGTGTATCGGATAAATGTATTTTATCAACATACAAGCAACATGTAAGCTCGGTACACCCTGTATAATATGACACCCGAGATTACACCATAATTAATTCATTGTTTGTCGTATCTATTTTTCTGCATTCATTTTTGTCATGATAATTTCGAATTGGAAATTCAACGATTCCTTTTATGATTTAGTTTATTCTATTGGAGTTATTTTTAGCTGGATTTCGGCGATTTTTTTACAAGGTCGGCCTGTTTGAATGAATACAATAATCTTTTTTTCTGTTGAATAGATAAATAGCAATTTGGTTGAATTATTGAATTTTTATAGTATACATTGCTGAAAATGAACTTGAGTGATTTGAAATGATGACGGGTTTTGGTGTTCTTGAGATTACCAGACGTTAATAACTTTTATTGATTATTATCAACCATAGGTATTCAGTCACCTTCGTTCCTATATACACTTCATATTTCATATATATATTCATATTCCAAGTGATTTTTTTGTACGAATCCTCACTTATTTATTGAGCAGCACTGTAATACCCTCGACTGTATCTATTATCGAAGAAATAGGATACAAGATACGTTAGGTATGCACAGAAAAAAAAATTGAGTGAAATTTCACTCAAGGTCCACGCAATAATGAGTCAATTTCGGTCCACGCCCGATTGAGTTGAAATTGCACCCTACTCGACTGTGTAAAATGGTAATTCATGAACCGATTCAATCAAATTTTTTATAAACATTCTCATTGATATGAGAACTTGATGAAATATCTAGTTTGAGTTGAGAATTCACTCAAAAATGTCAAACAGTAAATTCACTCACAACCACATATGCATTCACTCAGAGGCGAGCTCAGAGGAATTTTCTACAGTGTGTCCTTTTCTATTTATCTCATCGATATGCAATTTTGGCATCAGATTTGTGTACAAAAGTCAAAACCTCTCTCTTGGGGGTGAGACAGGTAGACGTAGAATTCTATTAAAAAACAAGTTTCACCATGGGCCCCATGTCACAAAACAATAGGTATAACCCAGAGTGGTAAAACTTACCGTAAACTATATATTACAATAATGTGAATCAGCTACCTGTAGATATCTTCACAATCAGTGTTAGTCAATTTATAGACAAAAGAGGGACAAATGACGTTTTGGAATTCCGTTTTTTTATCCAGTATTTCAGATCAGCGAAGGCCACCTTTGTTAAACTGATGCGAGAACCATATAGTGGGATTTTGAATGTTTTAGGGATAAAATATCACCAGCTAGCTTTTTACTTTATTTTATAATTCATAATTTTTCTGCTTGCGATTTTGATTCTGCTGAATTGATTAACCAAGCTAACTTATCAAGTTTAAAGAACCCTGAGTAAAAATATAGGAATATTTCCCTAGCCCCTAACCTAATACCGAACTTTTCATTCTGTTTCTAAAATATATTCATAGCAAAATTATCATGTAATACTGAATAAAATAAGTGGGTACTTCAAATTTTGCATTTCTTATACAGGGTGTTTGGTTCACCGACGTATATCTGAAAGCGGATAATAGTTGAGAACATTTCGTAACATATTTGACCATATCATCGGTCTTTCAAACATTTTATCTGATTAAATCTATTTTTTCTCAGAAAGTTGAATACGCATTTCATCGATACTGAAAACGAAATGGGATATAATGTGATGAAAACATTTTTTGGCTCGTTAGAATTCAAAAAACGATTTTTGTAACATCCAATTTTGAATTTATGAGCTATGATTTCTCGAAAAGTGTAGCACTTTGTATAATAGTCAAATATGTTCAAAATCACATAACCTACCACCTCCATCCGTATATACGTCGGTGAACCAAACACCCTGTATATGATCTGATTTTTACTCCGATTCTTACTCTGTTAGGAAAATTTCTGCAAACATTTATTGTAATGGTCTCAATCATAGTATTGAATATTGATTGATGAAAAACATTTGAGAATATCTAGCTAGCTGTGCTGGTTGAACCGATCTTTAGGTCAAGATTTTTTTCTCAGTTATAAAAAAAGATTTCCTATATAGCTAGAGCAGATTATAAAAGTTTATCATTATATCAACATCAACATAACCTAGAAATACAAGTAATAAAAATATACAGAACGATATACGCATAGCTATAAATCTTAATTGTACCATAAAAATCAGAAATGAGTAACTAAAAAGTTGCTTGAATCGTATCTTTCATCTCGAAATATCATTTTTATTGAAAACAAAATCAGCCAGTCAGTCAACAGATTACATGAGGTGTTCAATTTGAGAGTTTTATTGGAATTCATTAGGGAATCCTAAAATTCACCTTCATCTGAGCAAATGACTCAGAATTTTGGAATTTCTATGATGAGTAAACCCAAACTGGAACTGGAAAATCAATGACAGAAACTTTATTTTTCCATAGGAAAAACCATTGGTATGATAGAGATTTCCCAGTAGATGTCTTTTTTGCTCAAAAAATACAGTTTGATACATGTTTCAAAAAATCAATTTTATACGTTGTAATTCGATATCAAATTGGTCACACTGTATAAGTATCAATATTTACCATCTACTATATTATTTTCTTATTGATAATATTTGTATAGTAGATATA